ACACTATAAGTACCATTTTAAAAAAAATTATGGAGCAACCTACGTATAAGTCAAAATTAGCCCAATCATTGGTTGTCAAGGTTGAATCACAGAAACGATTCACTGTAAAATGTAAAAAAAATGAATTCCTTGCAAACAAACAATTTCATCTTGATATGATTGAAACTATGAAATTAAATCATAGATCATCGTATTGTATATCGTCTAAATCACCTGCAGAATATTTACTGAGCAATTCGTTGATTCTATCGTTGGTAGTCTTTAGCAAATTCATTTCCAGATTGAGTGAAAATTGAATATCTTTCAATTTATTTCTGGCATCCAGATTGTTTGCATTTGCACTATTTTTTAAAAGAATAAATATTTTTTTTCATAAGAAACAGATAATACGAGGCAATTGGTGAGTCATATAGTCAACATACCGCATATATCTTTTCATAGAGCCAATAAAAGAATCGACAGCCTTAGAGAAATGTTCCATTGCCATAGTTGGTGAATTGGCTTTCGTTTTTTTTTGTAAGTCTTGGTAGCGGTGCTAATAAATAAAATCAAAATTAACGTTTGTACTTATTTTAGAAATTTAAATGTGGTTTTTTTCTCACTATTATCAGCACTTGAATCTGTATCGCTTGTTTGGCTTGAATCGGTTTGTTTCGTTAGTGTACTCATTCCTTGAGCCGCTGGTAAATCAGTTGATTTCGGACCTGTATCGCTCATTTTGCTTAACTTCAATTATTAATTGATGGAAAAATCTTCGTTAAATAAATTTTGTACTGATTTAGCAGTTGGGGATATTCATGTGAAGTATTTTACATTCGGTAAACAGGCCTATACAGACTATTTTCAATATTCGCCGTCAAAACGAAACGAACGTCATTGTAATAGGTTTAAAAACGAAGCTTCAAAAAAGTTCCGTAAGATGACGTGATGTGAAATGTCACATCATTCGATATTTCGTGTCTATAAACAGTATAGAAATATTGACACATCTGTATATAGTCCATTGCAATTTCGAACAACATAACAACTAAGTCGCAATAGGAAGCGCATCAATGTGATATACACTTGTATTCCTTCGATTAAAAAATGTCCAGAGAAATAAAACAGCTGTTAAAAGAGGCGAAGCAGGCATTTGGCGAGAAACAATTTAAAATTGCCGAAGAAAAATGTCACGTAAGTTATTTCAAGCCGTCATTATTGCTTGATGTCAATGGAATAAATTTATTGTTTATACTCAGGATGTTTTGAACGTCGATCCAATGAATTATCATGCCAATTTGTTGATTGGGGCCATTAATCAAGAAACCAATCCGACAAAGGTAAAGTAAATTTTATCAAAAATAAAATAAAAAATCATGATGTATTATGATGTTCTATTTAAGGCTGCCGAACATCTTTATAAAGCAACTGAATGTCCCGGTGATGCGAGCGTTGCATTTCAAGGCCTGTTAAAATGTGTACCAAACACTGAGATGCCCGATGTTTGCAAAAAATACTTACAACGAGTTCCGTAAGTAACATCGTTTGTTTTAATGGGCGCAAAAAAAATGTTAAATGTTTTTTGTGTTTTACGCATTCCAGATCAAGCTATGTTAAAGTTCATAAGCAATTGGAAACATGTGCATTGGCACAAAAGACGATGATTGCATGCATTGAAATTCTTGAGAATGAATTGAATTCGGCCAGCGATGCGGCACAAGTTAAATCGGCCAACGAAAGTTTGGTTCAAATTTATATGACGTGTCAAAACATTGATCGCTCTTTGTGGCCATTGTTTCGTAAAGTATTCGAATCTACAATACACGATCCGCATATTCGTGATCATTGTAAGGTCTATATTAAATATTTGAAATTATTACGAAATCTGAAAGAGCATGAAACGTTGCTGAAATGTTCCGTTCAAATGCTCGAAATTTATCCCAACGAATTTATACCAATGGATATGATATGCTGGGTTTATGTTCAAAAGTACTATGAAAATGATTTTAAGTTCAAGGTGAGTTCAAAACAAATGCCATTCAATTGAATCGATGATAAAAGTTGGATTGTTAAAATGTAGGAAATTGTGCCGAAGTCAATTGAATCGTATGCAGATGAAGTGCTTGAAATTAGCGGCTCACGACCATCACCCAATGCACTTATAGCCAAAAGTATTTATTTGTACGAAACGCAGAGCTATGTTGCAGCTAGAGACTATCTCTATAGAGGTAGGAACGTGGAATTTGGTTATTTTCAACGTTTTCATTATGAATGTTTTTTTTTTCAGCGAATAGCGAAGAAGAATTATGTTTTCGATTACTGGCCGATACTCATTTGAAATTACATGCATTTACATTGGCTGAATACTGTTACACAAAGATAAAAATTGTCAACTTAAATTATTTTCAAAGCTTAGTGGAACAGAACTCATCAACTAAAGCATCGTTATTTATTTCGTCGATGGAAAAGGATGAGATTCAATTAACCGCAGATGAAAAGGTGAAACTAACGGAGATTTATATCAAGTAGGTAACATTTATGCATTAAAAGCGGTAAAAATATCTTGAAATAATCTTTAAGAACGCCAAAAATGTAAATCAAATATATTCTGCAAAAAAAAATGCTTTGTGTTCGTTTCAGAGCGCTCATTCAAACAAATAAATTGGAAGAATCCGAAGAAAAAATGCAAACATTATCATTCGATGTTGGTCGATACAGTCAACTGTTGGTGTACAAACTAAAATATGAGCACCAATATGAAAAGTGTCTGGAAATTTTACGATCATGTGATGATGAATCGTGTGAATATTTCATGCAGTTGGGTGAAATAAATTTCAATTTAAAGAATTATCCCGAGGCGCTAAACGCAATATTAAGAGCAACAAAACTCGAACCATACAATGCCGATTGTTTCTTTTGGTTGGGTAAAAATGCCTTTCTATTATTTAATAATTGTTATTGATTCTTTTTCGATTATTTGTCGATTATTTTAAATTAATTCTATTCTATTCTTTTGTGATTCTCCTCTAGGTAAAATCTATATGCAAAACGGTGATGTCGAACGTGCACGAAAATGTTTTGAAAAGAGTGTCTTTTTGAATACACAACACGAACAAAGTGTTATATTTTTAAGCACAATCTACCGACAAAATTCGGAATGGGAATTAAATGCGAAATTATTGCAAAATGCAGCTCAAGCGATACCAAATACACCGTGCAAATGGGCAACACTACTGTTGGGTTTTCATCATTTGGCACAAAATCAATTTGATGATGCAATCACTGCGTTTCGTGCCGTTTTACGAATCGATGCCAAACATTATGCCAGCTGGGAAGGGTTAGCCGATTCGTATTTGAAACGCGGTTCATACAGTTCGGCACTGAAAGTTTATCGGAAAATTTGCGATTTAACCGATGACAATATTTATGCACAACTGCAAGTGGCAAATGTTTTGACCACCATGAAA